AAGGGTAAGAATGGGAGGTGTTGGTAACATCCAAGGAGTGGAAAGAAAACATAACCACTGTGTGGATTTCCTGTGGCTGGGGCTAGGAAACGTAGAGCCATAGCTGGATCAATAGAAACCAATATAAGTGAATGTTTCCTAGAGTGTTCTAGAACATACATATGCATATCAGGGTTTTCAAAAGATTGGGAAAATGATGAAGAGTATAATACCTAACATCTATGTAACACTTTTCTCCCTTACTCTATGCTGTTTCTAAAAGGATTTAGGGTGAACTCAACAACAAAAAACAACTCAATTAAAAAATGAGCGAAGCATTTGAAGGGTGCCTGGCTGACTCAATCAGTAGAGCATGGGACTCTTGACCTTGAGATTGTGAGTTCCAGCCCCATTTTAGGTGTAGGGATTACTTAAAAATAAAATCTTAAAAAAAAAAAAGAATTTGAATAGGCATTTTGCTAAAGAAGATACACAAATGGCCAATAAGCACAGGAAAAGACGCCGAACAGCAATAATCATTAGGGAAATGTAAACCACAATGAGATACTACCTCATATCTGTTAGGATGGTTGCTTTTATTTTATTTTATTTTATTTTTAATTTATTTCTGAGAGAGAGAGAGAAAGACAGTGTGAGCAGGGGAGGGTCAGAGAGAGGGAGATACAGAATCCGAAACAGGTTCCAGGCTCTGAGCTCTCAGCACAGAGCCTGACTTGGGGCTCGAACTCACGAACACAAGATCATGACCTAAGCCGAAATTGGACGCCCAACTGTCAGAACCACCCAGGCGCCCCAGGACGGTTGGTTTTAAAAACAAACAAACAAACAAACAAAGTAACAAGTGTTGGAAAGGATGTGGAGAAACTGAGGCCCTGAAGCACTGTTAGTGGGATTGTAAATAGTGCAGCTCCTGTGGAAAACAGTCTATGTGGTTTCTGAAAAAATTAAAAATAGAATTAACATAGGATCCAGGAATTCCACTTCTGGATATATACCCAAAAGAATCAAAAGTAGGGTCTTGAAGCGATACTTGTACAATTATGTTCATGCAGCATTATTTACGACAGCCAAAAGGTGCAAGGGAGCCGAGTGACCACGGATGGATAAACGGATAAACAAAATGTGGTATGTACACGCAACTGAATATTATCCAGCCTTAAAAAGGAAGGAAATTCTGGGGCTCTTGGGTGGCTCAGTTGGTTAAGTGTCCAACTTCGGTTCAGGTCATGATCTCATGGTTTCTGGGTTTGAGTCCTGCCTCAAGTTCACTGCTGTCAGCACAAAGCCCGATGCAGATCCTCTGTACCCTCCTCTCTCTCTGCCCCTACCTGACTCATTCTCTCTCTCTCTCTCATTTTTTCTTTCTCTCTCTCTCTCAAAAATAAATATTTTTAAAAATGAAGGAAATTCTGACACATGCTACAACATGAACAAACCTTGAGACATTATACTGAGTGAAATAAGCCAATCACAAAAAGGCAACTACTGTATGCTTTCAGTTATGAGGTTCCTACAGCAATCAAGTTCACAGAGACAGAAAGAATGGTGGTTGTTGGGAGTGGGGGGATAAGGAGTTGTTTATTTGGTGCAGTTTTATATTTGCAAAGACGAAAAGAGTTCTGGAAATTGGTTGATCAACAGTGTCAGTATACTTACTGTATACTGAGCTGTATACTTAAACATGGTTAAGATGGTAAATTTTGTGATGTGTATTTTACCACAATGAAAACATTTTTAATTACTTAAAAAAAAAGAATTTAGGGTACTTAGAATACCTCGTTCTTTCCAAAATGCTTTTATATACATCATCTCAGCTGATCCTTAGAATAACCTAGTGAGGGAGCAGGCTGGGTATTATTACTCCCATTTTTAGTGTAGAAGCGATTCCCTGGTAGGGGTGTCATGGAGCTCCCTCAGCTTTTAGGGGGAAGGGATGCCTTCAGTCTACCCTGAATCCTTAATGGTAGGATGTGCTTCCATACTTTGTCTGATCCTTATTCTCATTGGATCCGGGGCCTAGTGGCCTGTGCCTGGACCCCAGCAAGCTCCTTCTGTCACTCACTCTCCTAACTTTGCAAACTTACATCTCCGGGATGTCCTTTCGGGACTGTATGGAAAACTCAGAGGTGGAGCGGTAGCCTCCTCCAGCAAAATGAACAGAATCTAAGTGTTACAGTTTGATGAGTTCTAACAAAGGCATGTAACTGTAACCCATGCTCCTATCAGGATATTTCTATCAGGACATTTCCATCACCTCAGGAAGTTTCCCTTCCCAGTCAATACAAGCCCAAGGCAACTACTATTTTGGTTTTTTATTCCGTGAGAATTTTTAAATCTTTTTTTGGCGGGGGGATGGGAGGAGGTGGCTTTTTGCTGAGTATTCTTCCTGAGCAATTGTTTATGGCGAGACCTCGGACCTATTAAACTCAAAAAAAGAAAAGAAAAGAAAAAAGTAGCTTCCTTTGTTTCTCCCTCATTTTAATGATAGCTTCCCTTTCCACGGAGCCTGTCTGTCCCACTGGGCCTTGAAGGCCAGGATCAAGCCTATTTATCTCTGTTCCTCGGTGCCCAGCACATATAAAAGCACCACACACACCGGGCACTGTCTCAGCACTTTTCACACAGCGGTTCATTTAATCCTCGTGAAACTCTAGGCGGAAGGTGTTATGATGGGGTCCATTTCACAGATGAGGACAGGGAGAGATTTAACAGCTTACCCAAAACACATAATCAGGAAGCAGCAGAACTGGGAATTGAACTGAGGCAACCTGGTTCCACTTATGGCTCCTAATCAGTATTCCCATCTGCCCCTCAGTCACATGTTATTTGCTGAATGAATGAAAAATGAGCCCTTTTCACCTTCGCATCTCAGTCTGTCGCCAATTTTTTAAATGTTTATTCATTTTTGAGAGAGAGAAACAAAGTGTGAGCAGGGGAGAAGCAGAGAGAGAGGGAGAACAGAATCCGAAGCCGGCTCCAGGCTCTGAGCTGTCAGCACAGAGCCTGACGCCGGGCTCAAACTCATGAGACGTGAGTCAGATCATGGCCTGAGCTGAAGTCAGATGCTCAACTGACTGAGCCACCCAGGTAACCCTGTCCTTAACCAAATTAAATGCTGCTCTCCCAAAAGTTTCTCTTCCCCACCTCTGACCTCACTGCTCTTCCAGGGTCTCAGAGAAGCACAGAGCCTCTTCTTGGCTCCCTGGCCTCATTTAATCTCTCCTCATGTCTAGAGGACACCTCTTTTGTCTTTTCTTGAAAACATCTATCAGATTCACTCCTTGCTCTCCCTTTGTCACCTGCTAGACCCCAAGACCTGACATTTACTGCCCACCTGCCTGTACTTACTAACCTTTACATTCTTCCTTAAGCTCTTGTTTTCTGGCTTACCTCTTAACTCAAGCCAATGAAACCCAAAAGTACAAAACTGAAGAGACCTCCCACTGGCCCAGACCACCCAGTCCTTTTGAGCTAAACCCCACATGGCCCCACCTACCTCTACCTCCTTGCCTGCGAAGACGGACCATGGAGTAATCTCTGGAATGACCTACAACTACCTTTACTTCATTATAATACTAAAATATCTGCCCAGGGAGGAGCCTCAGACTCATTTACATAACATACAACCTTATTCCTGCCTTTACATAGGATGACAGGCTTCCCTATCTAAATATTCATCCTAGCTTTGAACAAAAGGAACACCTTCACCCTCTCCTGGGGAGCCATCACTTCGGAAACCCTTTCTTATTTGCTGCAAATTAAAGTTTTCTTTGCGCAACTACTCAACATGGTGCCGTTTTGGACTCACCTAGGAGCAAACTCACATTGGCTGGGTTACACCTTTACAACTGCTGACTCACTCTTTGGGGATCTTGGGGTTTACATGCTTTTTTATTGAACCTTCACAGTAATCCACAAGCCAAATATTATTATTCACATTTTGTAGATAAGAAACTGAATAACAGAGCCCTGGTTCAAACAGGTTTGTCTGGCTCTGAGGACTCATCCATCTCCCAAAAGACTGGTGACCTTGAATAAGTCACTTAACCTCCAAGAGTCTCAGACGTCTCATTTGTAAAATGGGGATAATAACAGTAATTTCCTTATTATTAGAGCAACTGAGATCACTGAGCACAGTGCCTGACACACAGTAAGTGCCCAGTGATAAATTAAAGTTCACAAAACCTATATAGCATACATAGCATGAGTTGGCTAACTGTTCTGACCAAAATGCTGTCTGAAGAGCTTTTGAACTATGGCCGGGAAGAAATTGCCATACCTGGCCCCTTTTTTCCTCTCCAGGGAAGCACTGAATGTTGTATGAAAAGATTACTTTACTGTTCACTTGCACAATGCACAGCATTAGAAAATATACCCAGTCTGGTGGAAGGTGCACAGAATCTATGGCTCTGCCCTGTCCATGGTGTGTGACCACGGGAAATCTTGAAATCTCTGAACTTGCGTCATTTACAAATTGGAAATAATTCCTTCCCCCCAAGAATATTGAGATAATGCACATACAGCCTTTAGGACATTCCGGGACACATAGTAAGACCCGCATAAAGGAGTTCTGCAACATTATCATAGTCAGATAATGTTATATGATCATGCTGTATTGCAAGTCGAGGACGAGATAGATTTATAAATCATATGTTATCAAAATCAAGTGTTAAAAGTACAGGAAAGGTAACAGGATTGTGCAAATCAGGTACTGGGTGCGTATCTTGAAAACCTAATTGCCCCCAAAGAGGAAACGAACGGCTCCTCCCCTGAAGCCTGAGGAGGCAGGCGGGGCAGCACTGGCCCCGGCACCAGCCCCAGAGCCCCGCCTCCAGGGTTGCTAGACTCGCCGCCCAAGCTCTGCGGACGGGAGGCGGGGCCGGTCCTGGTCACGTGAGCGCGGGTGCGGAAGTGGTGCAGCGGGCCGTGTTCGTGGTTGGACGCTGCCGCAGGTCCCGGGGGCGGGGTCGAGCCTGCCAGACGCGCCGGGAGGAGCCGGGGGTGGAGGCAGGCGCGGGGGGCCGGCGTCGGAGACCGGGATTCGGTCTTCAGGGCGACCGATTGCTGGACCAGCGGCGGTCCCGCGCTCCCCGGCCTGCGCGCGCCAGCTGCTCTGGGTTCCCCAGGCCGAGGCGCCGGCGGCTGCGGCAGGCCGGTGTGGTGGGCAGAGGGAGGCTCGGAGGGCGCGGGCGCCCGGTGCGCGGAGCAGGCGTGAGGCAGCTGGGGGCCGGGACGCCATGTCCATGGAGGACCCCTTCTTTGTGGTGAAAGGGTGAGTGTTCCCGAGGTCTCCACTGGAGGAGGTGGTGGCCGTGCTGCCAGCCGGCACCTCTCTGCTCTCCTCGCCGGAGGGGGAGGGGAGACAAGTGGAGGCGAGGGAGGGGACAGCGGGAACGGCTTAGCCTGCAGGGCCATGACCAAGCGTCCAGAGACATCCCTTCCCCGTCCTACCTGGACCGTGAAAACCGTGTCCCAAACCAAGCCCCTGGGCAAGGAGATCCCCTTTGGCCTGTGCGCCGAGGTACAACTTATTTGGGGTTCCAGAGGATCAGCAGCTCTGCAGGTGGGGAGGGAGACGCGCGCCCCAGCCCAAACTGGGGATCTGGCGGAGCACGGGGCCCTACTTCGAAGGAGGGAAAACAGCATCTGGGCAGGAAAAGGGAAATGGCCCTCCTGAGCTTTGTAGTTGGCGTTGATGGGGCTGAGTTCCCATTGTCCATTGAGTTTGGAGCTCTGGCCCGCAGACTGGTGAGACCACAACATGCCCAGAGGCGCCTGAGCACGTTTGCAGGCTGGGCTGCGGGGGTGCACGGCTCCGGAAGACAACTCAATTCAGTGGGGGCGTTTTTACTGAGTAATGTGAGGGGAGGAAAGCAGCCGTTCGAACCCAGCGATGATGCTGGAAGGAAAACAAAATGAAATCATCCAAACTAAACTTTCCTCAGCTTTCTATTAGCAACTGGGATTTTCCCACAGTGCTAAAGGAAGTGAGTGCTTTCTTTTCAACTCCCTGATTTCGTCCAGGCTATTTGACAGGTTTCCCCCATTCTTATCCAGCCTTTCAGAACAGAACTGCCTTAACTTACTTTTCCCTATGAGCTGTCCTGACTCCATCTTTGATTGCTCGATTGTTTGGAGGTAGCAACTTAATTTGCACCTTATATTATCTTTGTAGCCATTAAGCAAATGAAAGAAAGAGGGATTCTTATGTTGTGGTAACTTGTCAGTTCTATGTTTTAAGTGGCAGATATAAAAAAAAATCTGAGAACTACTAAGTTCCCAGAAGATCAGTACTCGTAATCACCATGTGTCCCTTTACTTGCAACTAGTTGCTACTAGCTTCTTCTGTAGCGGTGAAAGCTGGCCAGTTGTTTTGAGTTGCTTGAGGGTTTGTGTTTTTTAAGGCTTCTTCTCAGAAAACTTACATGGTACTTTGGGTGAAGGACTTTGTTATCCATGTTACAGTAAAATCTCCTTGTACACTTCTTAACATTTTCCTAAAAGGGTTTTCTGCATCTGACTTTAAGGTAGGTGGGAAAGTGACGAGTTGTAGATTGATAATATATGGCTCTCTGCTTGGAACATGTGTTATTTTTTGGAAGGATTAGTTTCGGGGTTCATTTTAAAATATTAGAGCCATGTATATCTTTTCCTTAAAGGAGAATTCTTAATGCTTAGTTTGCAGAGGTTATCTCTGGCAGCGGAAATCAGAGAGAATCATAAATTTTTTGTTTGAATGTTAATAGATGTGTGAAAATGCTAAATTGCCCTGCCATCTTGGCCTTTTTTTCCTGACAGTATCTAATACAGTCTACCAGCGCTTGCTCACTGATTAGATTATCACGGCAGGATTGGAACATTGGCCTGGATTGTGGGTTGACTTTTATACCATGTTAGCTCATGTCCTTCAGGCGTCTGAAGGAGGAGATTCGCAATACCTCCAGACTTTGAGAGAATATTTGGGGAGCCACGTACCTCTATTTATTAATGTTGAAAATGTATCGCACGATGTGGAAAAATTAGATGCTCAAGTTGTGGCTCTTAGCCTAGCAGCTGATGGTTCTGAGAAACAACTCACCCCCAAATTAAGTAGAAATGGCAGGTGATAAATTAAGCGCTGAAGCGAATGCTACAGAAGATTAAGTGCCCCAGTAGTTCTGAGAAAAGCAACTCATTAGAAATGGTTATGATTGGAAAAGCTTTCAGAGGTAGGCCTTGGATTAGGTTTTGAAGATGGGTAGAATTTAGATAATTCAGGCCTGAATCTCATCTGGACTCTTATTAAAAAGAGTCTCTTAATTGGTCAGCCTGCCTCTAATCATCTGCCTTGGTTCTATTGGATCATTGCTGTCTAAAATATAATGTGAGCCGTATATGCCATTTGACATTTCCTAGTAGCCATGTTAAAACGTGAAAAGAAACAGATGAAATTAATTTTAATGTCATCTTTAATATATTCAGAATATTTCAGCAGGTTATTAGTATAAAGATTATAATGGGGGGCACCTGGGTGGCTCAGTCGGTTAAGTGTCCGACTTCGGCTCAGGTCATGATCTCGTGATCCACGAATTCAAGCCCGGCATCAGGCTCTGAGCTGTCAGCCTGCTTTGGATGCAGTGTCTCCCTCTCTCTTGGCCCCTCCTCTGCTCACACTCTGTCTCTCTCAAAAATAAATGAACATTAAAAAAAAAAGATTATAATGAGATATTTTACTTTTTTGTACCAGGTCTTCAAATTTGGTGTCTATTTTACACGTATAGCAAGCACATCTCAATTTGGACACTAAAATTTGCATCAGAAATCTTTGATCTACATTTAGACTTTATTCAGTTTATAGTTGAAAAAGTAGATTCACATACTCAAACGTTCCAGACATGCTTAAAAATTTTCCAGTAACTGAATTGCGTATCAGCTTTTCAACTTAAATTCATCGAGGTAAGAAAATCAGTTTCTTAGTCCCACTGGTGCATTGCGACCATTCAGTAGTCACTTGTGGAGCCTGTATTGGGCAGGAGAGGTGCCCAATACAGAACCCAAGCAGGGGTTTCCTACAATACATCTTTCAGTGGCTGCCTGTTGCCTACAGAATGAAGTCCAGATGCTTGATGGATGCCTTGATCCAGCCGTTCTTTCCCCTCCGCCCAGTCTGCCGGCCCTCAGCGCAGAGCTCCAGCAACGTCAGACTCAGTACAGTGAGTCTGACCCCGGTACTGGCTGCTCTTACTCCACATGCACCCACGCTGCCTAGTTCACCCACCGAGCTTTGCAGATTCAGTGTAAGCATCTGCACTGCCTCCAGGAAGTGCTTCCCTTGGCCCTTGTGACACATTATTGCACCTCTTCCTCTGGCTGTCTTTCATTATTAGGCTATGAGCCCTGAGGGTTGGGACTGTTTATTTTTCCTGTACTTCCAACCCGGCACTTTGAATATACAGCATAAATGTTAAACACTCAAAGGTGGTGGTGGTGGTGGTTAAGGAGTAGTGATCATGGGTGGGATCATTGCCCAGTGGATCATTGCCAGCAGAGGCCCTGCGATGGGCATTGTGTATTAGAAATTCTCAAGGAGAGCATCTCAGGTGGTGTAGGGAAGCTTGTTTGGGGAAGTAGTAATAATAGCAAACTTTTAGGGGGTACAACTCCCATCCAGGCATTTTGTGCTAAGAAAAGCACTATCAAGGGGTGCTTGGGTGGCTCAGTCGGTTAAGCGTCCAACTTCGGCTCAGGTCATGATCTCACGGTTGGTGGGTTCGAGCCCTGCGTCAGGCTCTGTGCTGACAGCTAGCTCAGAGCCTGGAGTCTGTCTTTGGGTTCTGTGTCTCCCTCTCTCTCTAGCCCTCCCCTGCTCATGTTTTCTCTCTCTCAAAAATAAAACATTAAAAAGAAAATTTAAAAAAAAAAAGAAAAGCACTATCAGAATTCTCACTTGATAAGAACAGTTCTATGATGTGGATACTAGCCACATTTTAGAAATGAGCTGAGGAAGCACAGAGGGGTTATTTGCCTAGGGCCACACAGCTAACAAGTGGTATTCCCAGGATTCAAATTTGAACTGCCTAGTTCTACTCACACTGTTCATATTTCACAATACAGATAGAATAGAGTCGAGGAGAGTCTCATTTTGAAGCCGTGGGAGATTTTTAAATCTAGGAAATGGTGTGAAATTAGGTTTTTTAGGAATATTGATTTGATGGTAGTGTTGGATGCATCAGCGTGAGGAAAGATTAATCTGAATATGTAGTTCTTAATGGCTGGATGTTTGAAGCTACTTTTGTGGGGTTTGAACACTCAACAAGCGTCCTGTTCAAAGCAGAATCCCAGAATACAGGAGACAATGACCACCATGGGGAAGCTGAGCTCCTCGAATTCATGTAGCCAGCCTCTACCTGGAGGAGACATTCATAGTGGTATTTACACCACCAGAACTCAGTCCTGAAACTCCAGGCTCTACTGAATCCCCTCTAACCTGCCCTTAACCCATAGCCTCTCTGGCAGGTCCTCTCCATGTGTTCTCACTGGGTGAGCTCAATTATTCCCAGTATGTCAGGTACTGTGAGCACACCCAGGTCAGTCTGACCCCCTCTCTCCCCTTCTGTTTTTCTTTTCCAGCCTCCTAGCCCTCTACTCCTGACCCCGCATTCTCCTTCAGTCCTGTGTCCACTAGGCATTGTGTTCTATCAGGGCCATCCCTTGGATATCTCTAGAATCTTCTCTCCCTCTCTAGTTACGGTTCTTCTGCCCTGGTTCATGCCCTTGTTCTCTCCCACCTGGACTCCTGTAAACACCGTCCTCAGCACACTTCACACTGCTACCGGATGTGTCCACAGAGCCATGGTCAGATGGATCATTTCTCTATTCAGAATCTTTTCATTCTAAAATATCGCGGGTCTGTTTTGTGTGTCCGGAGCTGAGGGGATACAGCAGTGAACAAACAACAGCCCATCTTTATGGGGCTTACATTCTGAGGACCGGAAACGGACAAATGCGTGGTATGTCAGGTGATGATAAGTTCAGGGAGAATCAAGCTGGGTAAAGAGAAAGGGAAAGTGGATTCTGGGTGTAATTTTTTTTTCTTTAAAAAAAGTTTTTTTAATGTTTATTTTTGAGACAGAGAGAGACAGAGTATGAGCAGGGGAGGGGCCAGGACAGAGGGAGACACAGGATCTGAAGCAGGCTCTAGGCTCTGAGCTGTTAGCACAGAGCCCGACATGGGGCTTGAACCCAGGAGCTGTGAGATCGTGACCTGAGCTGAAGTTGGACACTCAACCGACT